GAGAGAGATGTGACTGGCTGCTTGCAGAAAAATCTGACCAAAAGCTTTGGGCCACATCCTTTGTGGAGGGTAAATCAACATCGTCTGAGTGGCATTTCTGGAACCATGACTATTTTCATCAGGATCAGGCCTTTTACATATGGTGAGGAAGTGGTAAAGATCACAAAGGGAGGGAAAGATATACATGCATGGCAATAATTGCAAAAAGCTATGGGGTTTTCCTATGTAGGTGGTGGTATTTTCTCTAAAGAATTAAAGCGTGGCTTTCCCAGCACTCTTTCCCTTTAAGGACTCATGCTGAGCAGCGTGTCCCGATAAGACAACAAGCCCAGATGCCCAGAGGAAGAACAGTGTTGCTGTGAAGACACAGGCCCAAAAGGCAAAATGTCTGGATTTTATTTGCAGCTCTGCCACAAACTTCCTGGATGATCGTAGCCAAGTTAACCAGGTCCATTTTTTTTGAAGCGGCGTCTGTGCCCTTGCTGCATATGCATGAAGCGCACACTCGCCATTCAGGGCTTTGCGCAAAAGTCCAAGAAATGCAAAGCTGTAAAGAAACGCCCGCCGCCTACGCGCTGCCCTGTTTTCCCCAGGCAGAGGGTGATGATCTGGTGAAGCCGCTGGATCCCTGCCGGCAGGGATTCGGATCCAGAAACTGGCAAGAGCACCAGAGCAGCTGTGCTGCTCCGGATCAAAGCCCACCTTGCCCGACGGCCCGCTGCCGGCAGCCGGGGGAAGTGGGCACCCGAGGAGGAAAGCGAAATAAAGGGTGAGCAGAGCTGGATGCACCCACGCTGCACTTTCCCAGCCTCTAACCATTCAAGGCACGGGGACTTCCAGAGCGAGGAGTAATTCGTACGAACTTAGCAACCCTCAAAGGATTTCTAAACCTGGGAGCGTGAGTAGTCCAGGACAAGCTCTCAGGGCACCTTGGGATTCCTAGCTTCCCCACGGCAGGACTCATTTCTTCAGCTCTACATCAGACTTACAGGGTCACACGGGGCTTTTGTCTCTGCTACAAAGGAGAGCCTTCCCATCGCTGTGTCAGCTCCCTGCCTCTCACGAGGAAGTGATGCCGCCTGCCAGGGAGTTGGGGCTAAATACACTGATGTTTCCTCATGCCTTGGAAGGGAAGAGATGTCTGGAGAGAATTATTGTTGTGGTGTATAGGAGCTTTGCCAGTACAGTGCCCTGTAATAACAGCTACTCTTCCTTCAGGTCATTGTTACCAATTTTTTAGTACTCTTGATCATGACAAGTAGATCTTGAGTTTAAAGAAATGCCTGCCTTCTCCCTCCTTTTTCGTAACTTACTAAATGGATTTTTGAGATTTTCTTTCTTAACGGCAGTGTATCCAAATACACCTGTTCAAATTGTCATCTTCCAGGTCTTTCCTCCAAGGAGCCACAGGGCTGTAACCAGATAACCAACACATTTGCGCCCTGTCGCCATGGCTCAATAAGAACTGAAGCATGAGGAAATACTCTGAGGGGCACTACAGATGATGAAACTGGACTTAGAATAAAGAAAGGTCTTTCTGCTCCCAGGGGCAGCCTCGCATCTGCTTTGTCCATGTCCCATGAGCAAGCTACTGCCTGGAAGCCACTGAGCTGAGTTAGAGTGGTGGTAGGTTGAGCTTTCGCACCGATTTGCGGTGGGGTTCATGCAACTGGGCTGAGGACAGCATTAATGTGGCTACACGGCTTTCATCTGGAGATGGCTTTTGTCCAGTTGGCTGAGAAGGGGGCTGGATTGACAGGAAGCTGTTTGCATCGGCCAGTGTAGACATGCCCAAATTCTCCTAAGGTACTACTGGAGGGTACTCAGATGTTACAGTGATGAGGGCAGTCTGAGAACCTGTTTAGACCAGAATACGGGTTTCAGTGGCAGTTTTCTGGCTGATTAATTGGGTGACTTTGTGCAAGTCTCAACTTGCTGTTGCCCTATCCAATAAATGGGAATAGCAGCATTTGCCTCCCTTTGTAAAGCACTTTGAGGTCTACGGATAATCCTCCTCCTTTTTCCCACCCATGATGATGGGACCAAGTAGAATCTTACGACACATTGAGTTTCTGTGGTCTAGCGTTTGCCAAGCATTTGAAAATGACTCTTTGGCTCGAGTTTACAATGTCTGTGATTGCCACGTGATTTTTCATGGAAGCTCCTAGTTGAAATCAGGTCACTATACAACTGAAAATGTATGGGATTAGCAAAGAAACTGAAGCAGTCATCAAGAGTGTACAGATCCATGATGCTCTAAGCGTCCTGTCTGGGGCACCCTGCAATCACTAACAGCACAAATCAATAATCTCATCAATAACCTACAACACTTCGTGGTTCAAAGGTCTGCAAACATTTAAGAGCGGAAAACTCTAAAAGAAGAGAAGATTCCTCTTGACCACTGCTTTCTCCATTACCCAATAAGCTGTGCATGCAGCAGACAGAGCTAGAGAAATACGTCTCCATTGGGCACTGGGAGATGTTCTCATGACATAATGTTCAACATTTTGTATTCAAGGACCTTGTGCTGCTGTGAACAACTGATGTATTAGGACACAGTTTCTTCTTTCCCTGGATTTTCCTTGACCAGGGACGTTTTCTCCTACACTAGATATAAATCCTTTCTTAGATCTCATCCCTAGCAGGTACCAAAGGGATGTGTCATTGAGGCTACGCTATTTTTCACAGTGACCTGAAAGAAAACCTAAATCATTGCAAACAAACCTTACAAGTGACTTGGGAACTGAAAAAGAGAGTAAACAGTTAGGAAAATAGGTCACCGGTATACAGAGATCTTCTGAAAGAACATTGCAAGGCTGTATGAGCCTTGAAGAGCCAGGAAACCAGCAGAGATTTGTATCAGGCAGCATGATCTAATGAGCTGACAGAAGAGAGGCTGAGGGCTGGCTTGATCACAATCTCTGTGTACTCACAAGAGGAAGAGAAATGTGGAAATGAGGCAGAGGTATACAGAAATTCGATGGCTGAAACTTAAAGCCAGACATTTTTTACCTTTTGTGGGGAGGGGGAAGAGGAGCAGTAGCTAACTTCAGAATAATGCTCCAAGGCTTCTGTAGTAGCTCCTGTAGCCCCCGAGTGGCTGGGGGCAGGTGTTTAAGAAAATAAGCTGTAGTTGCAAAAGAAATGAACTGGAGGGTGTCCGATGGCCTTTGCCACGTGAGATAACAAATTATGTGATCTTCCCGAGTCCTATAGTTTGTGAACCAGTGTTTTGGATTTCTTCAGCCACAGTAATGTAAAAGAGAACTCCATCTTCACATCTTGCCAAGCACTGAGCAGAGTTAGCAAAGGTTAAAGCATCTGAGAGGGGGTAGTGTTTTAAGACTCTCTCAACCCCAAATAGCAGGAACTATTTGGGCTAGCTTGAGTTACCTCTTTTCTTGTCCTTTGCCTTTACTGTATCATTACACGATGGCAACATCAGACTTACCTGCTAGCATTTCTCCCTTTAAATAAGAAAAAAACTAAGTAACATAAAAAGAGCACATCAGTGAGCGCAAATAAAAGGCTGCTCTACATGCTGCTGCAATTTCCCGAAGCAGCACTCAGGGCCTGCTCCTTGGACCAGGGCTATGAGGGACTCAGCACCTGACTGGACTGGACCCAGTGGCTGTGTATTTCATGAGTCCGATCAGATATGATCTGTCCATACACAAGCCATGTTTTACTTATAAAGTAAATTACATTACATGGACTATAATGTACGTTTTCAAAGGGGACCCACCTTAAAAACATTTTGTTTAATAAAATAACTTAATTAGAAGAGAGCTTCTGGCTGATGTGGTTGAGGCTGCGATAATTTTTCCTTCTCAAATCATTTTCTCTGTTTATTATACTTAATTATAGTGTAATTACGTATCCATCCTCTAGGCAAATTATGCAATCAGAAAATGCGAGTGGTTCATTTGCCACTGCTGTTGGGACCAGTGTTTACATCCCTAGTTTAAAACATGAGCATCATTTCTATTATTTATAGTATGTACGTGCATGCATATATATAAAAGATGTTTCACACAGAATGAAGAATCAGTGTAAATGTTTTATTGGCAGTCATTTTTGCATCATCCAACTAATTCATTTGTGGCCTGCTAATAATGAAACCATCCAAAGCTCGGATAGGTAAAATTTTTACACCTTACCATGAATTTTCTCAAACACAAAACACACACAGTTGTGGAACGTGGAAGTTCCACAGTTTAGCTTTAATTTAGGTGGGACGATTATTATTACTCTTAAGAGCTTTTTTTTTTGCATTTCACTTCCTAATATTCTGGCCAGAATTTCTTAGCACAACAAGAGAGAAAGGAACCCCACAATATTTGGTTACGGGTTGTAGATCTGGGTTCAGGTCATGGCTTCAGACTAATCTTTTTTTTCTCCCATATGCTCCATGAACTTTCTAGCTGTGGCAGCACTGACTTTTAAAGGCTAGGCTATTCTCCCTCTTGTTTTTCTTGCTGGGAGTTGACAGATTGTGTTTGAACACAGTGAAAGATGAAGCCAAATGTCCAAATCTTGAAAACCCTTTTGAGGTCAAAGTTTTCTCCTTCTTTGGCCAGCTCTCAGAATGAAGACAAACTGGGTTCCCACTTGGCAATTTCAGCTTCTCTTCATGTGCTCATTTTGCAGAGATGAGGCCACGCACACCAACGGAGCAGGCGGGGAAGAAAGCACATCTGTTGGTGAAGCTCAGCCCAGCTCTGTTGGCATCAACCCCCCTGTTTATTACAGCTGGCGAAGAGGTGAACCATCCATGCAAAATGGCAAGCCTACCTAACCATCACCTGGCCAGCCCCGCAGCTGATGGAAATCTGGATAACTATTTGATCTACCCCATTTTCCCCCTGCTGAAGAGCTGGCCCTGCCTTTTCAGTGTTGCACATCTGCATAGTGCTTTCCAGGAGTATCTTGCAAACACACCTTTGCAGGAAATAAAAGGCTTCAATGTGGTCTAGCTTCCAGCTCGTTCCCTGGTATTTTTATGAAGAGCCAACTTTTTGATTTGAAGAGCCAAATTTTATGAAGAGCCAGCGCAGGCACACAGGCAAAACTGAATTTTGCCACACTGCAACTGAAGGGCTGGGACTTGCCTGTAGAGCAGTGGGGAGGTTGAGGTAGAGCTGGAGTGGCACGGCTGGGTAGGGAGATCCAGGAACGTGTGACCTGGGGAGGGGGGCAATGGAAGAGCCAGGAGTGGTAGTCCCCCAGTTGGAGTTAGCAATCCAGGGAAGGAGAAATAAGATGGTTCCTGATCATCCTCACCAGTCCTGAAGCTCACCCGTGCAAACAGTGGCCTCAAATAGCCTTTCCCTCTCCCCACCCTCAAAACACAACCACTGCCCCATTCCTCCCTCTCCTTGAGAAGAGAGCTGTCAGTTGTGGTCTCTGAGGGAAAGGCGCTACCCCAGCCAGCCTGGGATAAATCTACGGAGTGGAGAATCAAAGCACAGATCCAGGCAGATACTTTGTGGTAACCTAAGATCCAATAAAAATCCGGGGAGATTTTTCAAAGGAGCCACCAAATACACCCAAGTAGATGCTGTTGCTCCATCCTGACCTGCTTGACCCACTGCGGAGGCTGCATGTTTGTTCACACAGGCAGGTAGGCCAAAACAGCCAAAACAGGGTGGAAATAGCCAAGCCGCTGGTTTGCAGTGTTGGCTGCAAAGTCCCTGCACGCAGCAGGTAGGACAAGATGTGCCAACAGCCCCAAGTCTGCAAGCATGGAGTGCTGAAGGACCACAAGACCGGGCACTGACTCAGTCCACGGCAAGTAGGCATCTCCCCAGAGCGGGATGAGATGGGAGTAGTAGGTATGTAAGATGTTTTTGTTTTTTCCTGATGTTATCCCCATTTTCCCAGGTCCCAGCTTCAGACAGCCGTCTGCCATCCACTTTGGCCAGACACCGAGACGCTAGCAATTGGCTGGTGTTACTGTCATGAGCAAAGGTAGAGTGCTATGAATTGTCTGGACCTTGTCAGCCTTTTCCCGCAGTGATTTTGCATGGTGTGAAATAGGTCGGGACTCGGCGAATGATGCTCTGGCTGATCGGCCCACTGCCAGAGGAGGATTTGTCCAATATAGTCTCACTTGTTTTTTGGGTGTGGCCTGAAAGAGAGCGTTTGAGCCAATATTTGTTGGGGTTTTTCCACACTTTGTTATGAAACCCTTGGTTTTCCCATGCCTTGAATTTTGGACTATATGCCTTAAAAAGCAGTATTACATGCGCCTAGCTCCAAGGTAACACTTTCCACCTGTTGGTTTGTAAACGCTATAGAATGAATGTTGTATTTAACTATATTTGAGTGATGGGGAAGCCGTGATGCAATTTACCTGAGGTCAGGCAGTAGTCTGAAGGCAGGGCTTGGAGCAGGAGTCAGACTGTCAAGTCCCCAAGCAGTGTGTCAGGCACAAGCAGGGCTCCTCCACCCCGTCTCTCCTCTCCTGGTTTTGTTTCCCTTTGTGTTCCTAGGGAAAAATGAAGGAGGGGAAAATTAAATGTGGATTATGAATTCCAGCATCAGTGCTAGGGGAATCTGCAGCCAAGTGAAAGGTGGCTGAATTTAGTCCAGTACTGTCTGCTGATTCTTAAAGAGCTTCTTATGACAGAGTGAACTGCTTTAGGAATCAGCCCAAGAGCTGATAGCCCACAGCTCTGAGTGAGAATAAGGGCCACCGTTCCTAATCTGAGATTTAATAAGTTGAATTTCAGTTATTGAAAGGCCATAAAGGAAGCCTGAAATATTTTTATTTCTTGCACTACTCCAGTGAAAGCTGCATCTGAGAGAAGATAGAAAATATACGTAGGCATGAGATCTATGTGATACCCTCTTTAAAGCCTTCAGATGATCACATAATGCACAAACCAAAGCCATGAATGGCTTGGGTTTTTTATCTGCAGATCAGTGCTCTTAAGAGTGAAATTAGGTCCGTGCATCCCACCTGTCAGTGGGTTTGCACAATGGGCATGAAGGGGGACAATCTAGCAAGGCTTATAAGAGAAATCTGTTCCTATATGTGCTCTCAATAGGTGTTAATGCTGTGCTGAGGAGCTCTGCTCGTGGACTAGGGCTATTGTGCAAGATAACTGTACAGTCGTGGAGAAAACATTCTCACCCCCACCCTCAGGATGGGTATGTCCGTGCTGCAAACAAACTCGAAATTGAGAGGGCTTCCACCTTCCACCCAGCCGGCGCAGGACAGCGGAGGCTCCCTGGGAAGCCTCAGCCCCAGGAACCTGGCCCAGCCCTGCTCCAGCACACGCTGAGCTTCACACTCCCAGGGGAGCACTGCACTGGTGTCTGAACTGTCGCACGTTAAAGCCAGTGGAAGTAGCTTGCCGGTCACACCTTCAGTTTTCATGTCGACATGCCATAATGACATGAGGCAGCAGACGGATGCAGACGGGGAAAAATATTTGGACATATTAGGCAATGGGGACCGGTTCATTTAGCTCACACGCCCCCACCGTTACTCCAGCTGAGAGATGGCGAGTCAGTGTCGGCGGCCACAAAGGACCTAACTGAAAGCTTCTCTTAAGTGAGAAGCAAAATGGGTTTTGCCCAGGTTTATTGAACGCTTTTATTTAAACCACCACCTCCTGTCCCAGGAGGTGCAAAACCTAAACCTTGCCATTATAAATTACTGCTCCAGTTCTGGGTGGGTTCACAGTCTTTCTGCTCCCTCTGAGGCAGAGCTGACACCTTCCATCTCTGAGGAAGGGTTGAACGACAGGCATCCAGCTAAAGTCCCATGTTAGCAGCTAGAATTAAAACACACTTTTCAAGCAGCTATGGGACATGTTTCCCAAATGCTCTGGTATCTCTGGTCCCCTCTACTTTGTCTGTGAAACTATTACTTTGCATAATAGAAGGGAGAGACGCTCCGACCATCTGGTAGGCAACGCCATGTATAATTTAGGTTGCTTCACTCACTCTCCAATCAACAACAGGAACATAGCTTCCTTCTTGTTTCCCTTGATCTCTTAGCCCTTTGCTAGAAATGCAAGGTCAAAAGCAGCTGTGGGGGAGTAAACTGTATCCTGGAACTGGGTTGCGGAGTTTTGAGGGACACCTCTGCTTGTGGGTGAGACTCCTTCCCAACCAGGTCACTTCTCGATTCTGCATGAGGGAAGGGCTAAAGAACTCGCTGAAATCCAGTCAGGAGAGGACAGTTGGTATGCAAATATATGCAAATGCCCCTTTCCTCTCTCAGAGGAACCTGGTTCACCTCCAGCAAAGCCTGGGGACTGGGATCACATCATCCAGGCAACATGCTCTTGGGAATCACCACCAAGGTCAATGTCACTGCAGTTAGCTAAGCAGCCCCCCGCATGCATCCAACGGGGCGATTGCGAGGGAGGTGGCCGAGTCAACTCGTGTCCAGCATGGAGAAAGATCCTGGGCCTGGTACGGGAGCTACATCATCCCCAAGGGACCCCTCCTCTCCAGGACCAAGCTGCCTTTTCATCCCCACTGGGGGTGCACCAGGGAAACTACCATTTGCTGCTATTCCTCTATGTCAGGAGGAATATCTGGGGCCTATCCAGACCTGTGCTCCTGTTTATCCGCTCAGGATAGCCGCATAGTCAGTGGTGGTTATGGCCCCGATGCTAAAGTTTATGGCTTAAATCGATGGGATTATTCATGAGTTCAGAGATAACCATGTGCTTTTATACTTGGCTGGAATGGCGTCTAAAGCTGACAGCTGGGAGTCAAAAGCTCTGAGTCACTGGGTCCCTCCTCTCCTTCCTGTGTGACCAGTCTACCTCTGTCTGCTTCCTTGCCTGCCGCATAAGGAGGATGACAACTGCTTTTATCTGATGGTTACTTTCAAAATGGCCCTAAAGGCCTCTTCTGGTCTGATGAAAATTCAGTAGAAGCTGGACTAGTGTGGAAAAGACAGGAGGACATTTAACTAATGAAAGCGCTGGAGCTCAGGAAGGCAATTACATCCTTTCTTCCTCCCCACATTCCCACACAGGTTACTTGGCATTGGATGCAAAATCTTCTGTGGGCAAAGAGGAGTGGGAAGCCATGAAAAGGCTGAGACAAGGCCCTCTGAGCTGGTGGAAGGCTCATGCGGGGTGTTGGTTTGGGTGCCCCAGTGCAGCAGGTTCCCAGCAGTATTTACACCTTGAAAGAGGCCCCATTCAATTAAAAGCCGTGACCTTGATTCTGCAAACCTCTTCTTCACATACGTACTTTGTAAAAGAAAAACATGCACAAAAGCTCGAGAGAAAGAAAGAGACAAAACACAGGCCAATTGCATATATTTTACACCCCAATATACAGTAAGTCCCCAGGGAAGTGACTGGGAGGGCTTTCCACATTTGGCATGTACACCTCTGAATAAAAGATGATTTTAAGTATAGACTCCCTCGATTCTCCTACTGTTCCTTTCCAGGGTTAGTCAGTAGTGCTCTGGGGTTTCTCTCCCTGTGGGCCTGGGCAGAGCAGGCAGGGCAGCATTGGCTCGCAGCACACAGTCAGTGCTGGCTTTTAGGAGAGACAAGCAGCGCAAGCTGCCCAGAGTGCAAAAGGCTGAATCGATCGACGGCTGATGTCCGGCACCTTTGCTTGGTCCAATTGTCCCTTCAGCACCATTCCTGGGAGGAGAAGCTGCTCTTGCAACCCTGCTTTAGTGCACCCATGTTTTGGGGGATGGAAGCTGGCTTTGCCATACACCTCCCTGTTGGTTAACAAGTCAAGTAGGATCATCTGCTTGGATAGTGTGAGAAACCCTGTGCGGTGCGGTGTACAGCTGCTGTATCCATATCCCTGTGAATATGCAGGCTGAAACCCTGCAGAGGAACTGTGGGTGTCCTCCCAGCTGCCCTGTGCTTTTGCAGGCATTTGTAAATATAATTGCTCTCACTTTCCATTGATAGAAATCAAAAAGCAATTAAGAATCAAGCTCTTCAAATTGATAGGTCTCCTGAATTTGAAACATTTTTCATTCTTTGGCTGGTATCTCACTGCCTAGATTAGATTATTTTTTTAAAGGGAAGATTAAAATAAACAGTATTTATGGTTTAATTATTTGAATGACTAAGAAGCTCTAGCTTTATTTTAACTTCACAGAGGACCGGGAGATGTTTTTAATGATATGTTTTACTCACATAGCATCTTTCATCCAAGGATCTCAAACTGCTTTTCAAATAATTAATTAATCCTTGTACCTCTCCATGAGACAGTTATTATCTCTGATATTACTGATGGGTAAACAAAGGCACAAAGACGTCAAGGCACAAAATGTTTTCCAAATATTAATTAACTAATTCTCGCACTACTCCGTGAGACTGTTACTATCTCTGCTATTACCAGTGGGTAAACTAAGGCACAAATATGCAAGCAACTCACCCGAGGCCATGCAGGTGAGTCAGTAGCAGAGCTGAGAATAGCGTATGACCAGTCTAAGTCTTAGCTAATTGTTTCTAGCAAGTACTACGCCGTACTCCTGACAACAGGCAATGCAAGCCCCTGCGTGAAGCACAGCTGAAACCAGCCGGGTTTATGAAAATATTTCCTCCAGTCTATCTTCATCTATTGGAGATCACATTTGCCCACATTAGTTTGCAGCTTCTTTTGAACTTGTCATGACCGGTGGAAGCCAGTAACTACGATAGGAAATGGTTGTTTTAATGTATCTGGGGGGTTTTGAGATGCTCCGGTGATGATGGCCGTCCAGCAGCACACAGTTTTTCTGGAGTTTATCCCTGTACCCATCCTGTGTGGCATTCTCGGGCCAGGAGAGCCCCAGGCTCGGCCAGGCGCAGGATGCCACACGCAGAGGGATGCCGTCGCTCCTCTCTCCTCCACCCAAGCATGCAGCCCTGGAGCAAGCACGTGCCCCAGGGCAGCAGTGTGAGCACGGGGCTGACCCCAAGCATACCAACACGAGGTGCTGTAAGTGTGTGTGTAGTCCCCTTAGGTATCCACCTTCCTCCTTTGGGATGTGACAGAGTGTTATTTTTAAGGGTGCACGCACAAGGTCTCTGGAGGGACGTGGCCCCTCAGCAGCCCAAACCACCTTGCCTCCTTGCACGGTCCATCAGCTCAGACCTCAACGTGCATTTATCCTGTGGAGCAAGGCCTCTCCATCCTCCCCAGGAGGAAGAGAAAAAACAAGGAAGCTGAAGGCTCTCTCTGCCCTCAGGAAAGGTCTCCCCTTTTCCATCCAGCTGTAGCGATCCTCCATGCAGGCACCTGAGCCCTCACCACGCGCACATCCCAGCTGAGCTATTTCAAACATGGGCTTGGCCTCATCAAATGCAGTCTCATTTCCACATGAAAGGGCTGGAGGAATATGAAGCCAACTCATCTGTATTGATAAGAATTTGGCATTACTTTCCCCCAGTTATCTAAGCTTTCTGTGTACATTAATCACAATGCAAAAACCGAGAGGGGGGAAAGTGTCTTCTCAGCTGTCTTTCCTGAGCTCAGGCAATAATCTAGCGGTGGTTTTTGTGTTGGTTGTTTTTTTTTTTTTTTTTTCGTTGTTGTGTTTTATTTTTCTAAACTTCCCTTTTCCAGTTCCACTCTGATTGCTCCCTCCCCTCTGCAATTTGGATGCCTCACTCTTCTTGCTACAGCTCTGATGCAAGCGCTCCGCTGCCGTGTTTGCCAAACCTGGCATGAGTACCCACTGCTAGTCTAGACACCAGTCTAACTGTAGCGCTAATGCTAGGGTTTAACAGACTGATCTCGGCATTTGTCATAGCTCTGCCCACGGTCATCGCTTTGATCTTTATCCTTGAAAACCACAGTCATTGACAAAGGTAAAATGAATTTCTGTCTTTGAAAGACTTTGATGGCATTCCCTTGTTTTGTTTTGTGTGTTTGTTTTTTTGTTTTTTTTTTCCCCTTCTCCTCTCCTCTGTTCTTCCAGCTGAACTTCATCATAAAGCTTCTGATTACAGCTGCAGCTCCAGGACCAGATAGAGTTCATGCTTTCTTGCTTTCTGCCATGCAGTCATTTAAAAATCTAAGGGGGAAATCCTGGGACACTTCTTCCGAGACAAACTGCCAGTGAGTGTAATGTAAACTTTAATGGAAATCGGAGACAGAGGGCCCTCAGGATTTGGTCTTGTACCTTCTTAAAAAAAAAAAACATAACAAAACAAAGTCATCTTGAATAGGGCCAAGTGCCAAAAGCAGGAGAGAATGAGAACTATTTGGTATTAGATTTCTAGTTTGAAATCTGTAATGTGCCAAGTTCTATTATTTGCCTTCATGTAGTACCTAGAGGTTGAGCTGAGACAAGGGCCTTCTATTAGACATTGTATAGACACGTTGTAAGAGATTGCCTCTGCCTGGAGGTGTTTATAATTTAAATAAACATGATGAGCAAATCAAGTGTTACTACCTCCATCTTCTAGATGGGGAAGTGAAGGCAAGGAGAGTACGCACCTTGTCCAAGGTCACACAGGGGATCTGAATTCATTGTAGGGCTCCAGGTTGCCTTCATGGTGGTAATATTGTCACCTTTGCTGGTGAGCTGTTGGCTCTGAAAGTGATGTCTGGGACATCAGCGTGCAGCCAGATAGTGGTGCCTCTTGTTTGCAATGATTTATGACACTTTTCCTTGCTTTGAGTTGCAGGGTTTGGCTCACTGAGGGGGAGTGCTACAGATCTCTTAGCTGCTCAAACTCCACTAGAGAAAAAGTCAGCAGTTTTTGAGCCAGACTTTTTTTTCATAAGGTTATAAAAGCCAATTGTGAGGTGTCTTATCCCTTTGAATTTACTGTAGGAAGCAAGCTACATGAGGGACCTTCAGTGAGGTACTTCCACCAACCTTGATGAATTTGAATGAAAAGAGAAGGGGGGGCAGGGTCCTTCCACTGGGCCCAGAATAAGAGCAAGAATTTAAAGAGCTGGAGTTTAATACCATGCACAATGTAAAATTAAATATACTCGGTAGGAGAGGCTTTGATTAAGGGATATAGACAGTGTGGGGTTTGCACATCTGTAAAAATCTTCCAGGGACTGGGGATGAAATCCAGGTTCATTGAAGTCAGTGGGATTTTTGTCACGGATGGCCATGAGGCCAAGCTCTCTCTCTAAATGCTGGAGTGGAGGGCAGTACACCAGCTCTCAGAATTCTCACAGAATTACAACAGCTTAGGGAGAAGTTCAGAGGACTTATTGATGGTAGCAACTCTGAAAGCACCAACAGGAATGTCCCGTGCCAAAGGCCAACCAGAATGGCTCTCGGGGTATCCAGCCAGGAGAGGCCATTTGTCAAAAGGGGTTTTGTTGAACAAAAAAATAAACAAATCTGTCTTCAAAGTGACTGGCTCAAAACTGGAGCTGGCTGAAAACTTTCCTGCTGTCATATATGAATATCACATAAACACATATCCACACACACATAGTTGGCAACTGAAAAACTTTGTATATAGGTAGTATGTATATTTTAGATAGAAAGATGTGTATCTTCTGTGTGTATATACTCACATAGATATATAGTCCCAACATCTACAAAACTGTATTTTCCTGTTTTTTCCAAACACTTCACCAGTTGATTCACAGATGCCAAATGTTGACACAATATGTTAAATCGAAATGTTGACAGTTTCCCATGGAGAGTTTTCTGCAGTCTCGGAGAAGCTGTATTCAGCATGTCTTTTGAGATTCAAAGGAATTTGATTAACAGTTTGCTGTTGCCCATTCCTGACTACTCTGAGTTGAGCTGGGACTGGAGGAGCACTTGATGAGTAAGGCTCTTTTGTTATTTACAGCCTCGTCAAAACGATGAAGTAGCAGGACTCTCCTTGGAGAGCCATGTATCACCGCATTTGTCAAGACGATTTCCAAATCAAAGATGACTTCCAAGGAGCAGCAAGGGTGTAATCTTGGAGCCAGTCAAGCCAATGGCAAAATTCCCAATTTCTGCACAATATTCTTAATGGAGCTTCATATATTATGGCTCAAAGGTCCTGTCCAAATTCAGCATCTGTGTGCCTTACAGAGGCATGACCCTAAAAAGAAGTGATGAAAAATGCCTATTTTAAAAACAAATATCCCTGTCTATAATGAGACCAAAGGGAAAATGAAGAATTCGGTACTTAATACTGACACCTGCCACTTGCAAAATCTCTCCACTACTAGAAACAAGTATCTGTGAGAGTTTGGAAAATTTTGGTCACTCATTTTGTCCTCCTTTGCTTCCATTTCACTCATGGGTACATCTGTCCAATAACAGCACTGACACTGCTAAATGTCATGAAGTTTCTTCATGTACTAGTTCCAGGTGAGATGGCAACAGGAACAACTATAATTCTTACCAAAAGAAAATGAAACAAGACAAAATAAATATTTGCCAATGTTTTTGTATATAGTTGTTAGGTTCTAGGCACAGAGATTAGTCAGAGTATCCATAAATATCATCGTCATTGAACTCTGATTTCCAAGTTCTTTGCTCCAAATGCCTACCGGCTGTGAGAACCCAGCCGAGCTCTGGCTGCTGGTCTATAAACTCCTTCTGGGTTTTGCTCAGTTCTTGTCACAACGACCAGGGGTCCCCACCAGTGCATTCGGGAGAGTGTTTCAGGAGGGGAAGTGAGAGGCACATCCTATATGGTGGAACACCCGGTAGGAAAATGCCCCCGTGGTAAACCAGATGGCACAGGTGACCCTGTCGAGCTTCATTCCTGTTGTCACAGCCCTCAGTCACATCAATAGGAAGGGGTCAGTCCCCAGTGTGACAGATGTGGAGGCTGGCAAACTACGCAGGGCAAGTATCATAAATGCTCGGGTTAGTTTTTACTCTTCTCTGCACGCCTCTGTTGGAAATCAAGCTAGACAGATTCTTGGTCCCAATAAATATGGCGGTTCTGACACTGTCATGTAAGAAAATCCACCTTCCCAGAGAAAACCTCAGACAAAATAGCCAACCCAAGATATTTATCACTTTACAATACATTAATGCAAACAAAAACAATGCATGCCACAATAAATCCATTACTGAGTCTTATTAGAACAAACTGATAGTCCCACATGACTAATTTCAAGCTGGAAGTGTTTGAGTTTGTTTTTTTTGCTATTCATGCTTTTTTTTTTTTGGTGATGCAGAAGGCATTTTTCATTTGTGTGAAAAAAATTGCCTCCAAGAATGTCCAGCCTCACTGAAAGATTTAGAGGTTTCAATAAGGAAAAGCTAAGACCAACAATTCAGTTATCACCTGAGCAAGAGGTTTCTTCAGTATTCCCCCTCTCTCCATCACCCCCAAAAAATACAAAAATAAAATACTGACTAAAACAACAAAATCCATCCAAGTCAGCAACATGTTTCATGGGGAAGAGCGGTAGTCCCTGGGTACCTCCATTCATTTATCTCCTTGTATTCAAATCTGGTTTGGATCCAGCTCTAACCACCGTTGGTGGCTCCTCTGCCCAGAACAGCAAAACCAGGCAGGGCTGGACTCTGAGTTGAGCTCAGACTCCGGGCAGATGATTGCAGCTCAGTGCCGTGTATTAATAACAGTAATAGCAATAGGCTTAGAGCCTATTGGAACCTGTTTAACCCCCAAATTAGCACGGCTGAGCTGGAAATGCCAACAACTACTCTCCCAGAGATATGTACGAACCTGCACAGTAGGACTCAGTGCAGGCTGGCCGCAGGCTGTGCCAACGCAGGAGAAAGTCCACTGGATTTGAGCTCCGCATACTGGGACAGAGAGAAAGGACGGCTGAATGGCAGCATTTAAGCCTCAAAGGAGAGCCCAAGTGCCAGCCAGCACAAGGAGATAAGGAGCACCCTGGAGAAGGGTACAAAGGTAGCACTGATGAGCAGCTCTTGGCTTTGCTCCCACAAAGGTCACAGCTGGGTCCTCTATTAACTTTTTCTCAACACAGCATTATTGAGAATTATACCAAGCTACACGATAGTAATGCCTCCCTCCCACAGACCTTTCACAAGAAAATGTAAGTATTTGACATCCCTGGTGTAAGCAAAAGACAGTCAAAGGCTCTGTTATCTTCTTTTATAAGCTGGAGAATTTGGCTATGAGTAGACAAAGGTCCCTGTCCAGCAAAGTGTGTGGGGAGTATCACGCATGTGAGCAAACCAATGCACAAGCCTGCTAGATTTGTGTAAGCAGGTCTCTGAAGGTGTGTCCTGGGCCTAGCTACAAGAGCCTCCATCTAGAAATACAAGTAATCGATAAAAATGTGTCTATTCTGAATTAAAAAAAAAAAAAAAAAAAAAAAAAACAACAGCCAAAAAAAAAAAAAGCCTATATTACTGCAAGGGGAAATTCTTCTTTATTACTGTTTCATTACCAGTATCCTTTTGGAGCTAAAGTTCCTGTACACACATGCAGCAGCCAGATTCATCAGACAACCAAATCTTAAGCATAGCGAAGTTGTTCCCATTCAGTTCTCTGTTTATTTTCAATTTCCCATCCTATCAGCTCAGATGAATTAAGGTGGGAGGAGGTGAAGCAACTAGAACGGGCAGTTTTTAAGACTGCGCTGAGTAGAAGGTAAGAAAATATCATAAATTTTATTTCATGCCTTCTTGCCAATTGTTAGAAATGTGCAGTCCATATGAATTCATATAACAAGGAGGGAATGTTGGGAAAACCAATAAAGATTTTGTGGTCTTAACTATAATGAATGTAGTTTGATATAGAGTCTGTTTTTCACTGCATGGCAAAATGAATCATAAAATACTGGACCTTGAAACTCCTGCATTTTTTAACAATAGCCTGGGGACAGTTTACAGTGTAATGAATTGTAATTAACCCACCTTCAAAATCTTTTATGAGTATTTTGCCAATTAGCTTCGCATGCTTGCTAATGACTCATGGCCAGCGCATGTCTTTACAGAGCAGGCTTTTACAGCACACGCTAGCCTGTTAAGTCAGCAGAAGTATGCAGGATGGTGAGGTAGACACAGGTAAGACCCAGCCAGTCCTAGCAACCTAAATATTTCAACATTCAAAGAGCCCTTGCTGCTCTCTCAGACCTAAAATAACTGTAATAATGTATAGCAACGTCAAAAGGCTTTGGTTTCCGAAAGATTGTGAGGAATGCAAAGGGCTCAAGTCCTGACATCTGTTGTTACTTAGTACTAACATATATAATGCTGCTAATTGCTGAGCCATCTTTGTTTTCCTTACTTAGCACTAGGGTTAGAATTATTTTATTTTTGTGGTTCATGGCTTCCTGCCACTTGCAACACAAAGTCCACTCTAAAGAAAATAAAACAACTACCAGGCTGCCTACTAACAGTGTGTGGAGGGCTGGGGTTGTTTCTTCCCCCTCTTCTGTTTTTGGTTGTGTTTTCTTTGTTTTTAATTAAAGGGGAGTAAGAAAAGACATGCCCCAAGCAGACCCAGCAGAGCTGGGACCTGACCAGCTTCACACCAAAAGGCCCCATGGGCCAGTATCCCATCTCCCAGCTTAGGCAGAGGGAGATGCAGGAGGAGGAAACTCAAGGAGGAGGTTCAGCACAATCCCTCCCCTGCTGTACCCTCCTCGCTTCAGGCAATCCGTGGTTTATGGACTTCCCAAAGCAGAGGCTGTCTCCAGACCAGTGTGTTTTAACAGCCACCCATGGATCTATCCTCCTCAAATGTTTTTGATCCCTTTCTCAAGCCATTTATAACTTTTGGCCTCCGCAACATCCTGTGGCAATGAGTTCCACAATTTAATTATGCTTTGTATGAAAAAGTACTTCCTTCTGTTGGTTTAAACCTTCTTGTGTGACAGCATCATCAGGTCCCCTCTAATTCTTAGGAGAAGCAGGGAACAGCCAGTTCCTATTTGCTTTTTCCTATGTCAGTCATGATCTGACAGATCTTTATTGTACCTCCTGCTGCTGTCATCCCTTTCCACTCTGAAGACTCCTCATCGGCTTATTTTTCCATCTTTATGGAGGCTGCTGCCCATCTCCCCTCATCCTGAATGCTCTCCTTCCTGTGCCTTCTAGTTCAGCTCAACCCTTCTCGAGTTAGATGGCCAGAAAACACACTAACACGTAGAAGTAGTTTCATCGAGGAGTGCTATAATGATGTTTTCTGATTCGTTCCTGCCTCTTTGCCAATTCATTCTTAACGTGATAGTTGCCTCTTCTGAGGGACTTTAAATGGTATTTGCAGAGGCCTCCAAGCTCTCTTTGCTAACTGTTACATTTAGGGCTCGCCTGCGTTGAGGTATAGTTAGGGTGAGTTTTCTGCATGTGCTCTGCTTTTGTTGACACTGCACTACATCAGTCATTTTATTGCCCAGCCACTCAGGATCATGAACTCTTTCGGCGGTGCTTTGTGGCCAGATTTAGTTTTACAACGCTGAATAATTTGCATCATCTGCAAAATTTCTCATCCCACTATTCATCCTCTTTACCGGACTATTTATGAATATGTCTGAACACTACCAAATTAGTATTTCAACGACCTCAGTTCTAAGTAATGTGCAAAAACCTCTCTCTTGCACAAAGATGTGTGGCAGACATCCTACCTAGCCAAAGCCCTGAGGGGACGCACCAGTAACCTCCTACAATAGTG